TGGGAGTTGGGTTAATGACACAGTTTATTATGTGTCCACATCAGTAGTCACCAAATTTGTATGTTCCTCTGAATTCTTGACTTTTGCAGTTATATTGCTCGTACTAACATGAATGATTGTTTTTTTAAAAGAAATAAACAGATCATCACTTTCTGCAGAAGGGGTGAGGAACCTGTGGCCTTCCAGATGTTGTTGGGTTCCAACTCCCATCAGCCCTAGCCAGCATGGCCAATGATCAAGGAAAATAGGAGTTGGAGTCCAACAACATCTGGAGGGCCACAGGTTCCTCATGCCTGTGACTTGGATCCATGACCACAAACACAGTTCCACCAGTGCAAGGCACTAATTCTCCTAATTTCCCTGTCCTGTTGCCCTTTAAGATACATCATCATACACCATTCCAGAGGGTTCTTCAATGCTCAGGAGCCAGTTTTGAGAGGTTGCAGGAGGCTGGGGAGCCAGCAAAGCTCATGAGTAGTGTTCTCATCTACCTCTGAGTCCCATTTTGTTTTTCTCAAAAAATATGAACTTAGTCAAAGTGAAGAAATTTGATGCACTTTCTGTATGTGGTCCAATAAATGCTCCTTCTCAAAAGCTTCTTAGCTTTTCTGTAGGTATGGCATTGAAATTGGCACAATCCACAGGGGACAAAAATCCCTGTGAAAGGACTCATTAATTTCATGGATTGCACCCAGTAGCAGAGCTGGAATCCATAGCTATGTCACATCACAGACACATTATGGGTCTTAGTTGGCACCATTTAGATAACTTGGTTATGTATAACCGCTGTATCTGAGATAAAACATTTTTAACATTAAGGATCTGTGGTACGATAGTTCACTTTACATCATCTCAGTGGTTGATTATGGTGATAATTTTCAAATTAAGGCAAAATACTTGTTTAAATTCGGTGAGTTCCAGACAGTATTCAAAGAGTGAATCACGGGATATTAATAGAAGAATGCCTTGGGAGAAACTAGTCAACCTGTCTAAATCTATTCAATGAGTCATATTTTAGTCTCAAATCCTGACTTCTCACACATATAATCTCAGTAAACCCATTTTTACAAGTAACTTCCAGAACAAACTTTAGAATATTACATACGTCCTTAAATGAGAAACATTATACCTGCAGTGTACTGTTGCCACATAGTAGGTGTGGGGAACTGGATTTGGCCCGGGGGCCAGATCCTTATCTCCGCACACCCTTGAGTCATGTTTGGCACATGATTGGGGCAATTTCTCAGTCCCTTAATCTCACAATGAGGGGTTCACCCTTGCCAGTAATCGGCTGATTGTTGGCACTGGTGAAGCCCTGCATGCAGCGCTACTTGAAAGCCTTGAAAAATCAGTTGATTGTCTTTGCTTGGGAAACCTTGTTCACAAGTGCTGGCAATCAGATGGCAGTTGGCTCTTGGGACACGCTGCACAAGAGACTTTTCAGTACCTCCAATCAACTGAATGAGAAATTGCTTCCAAAACTGCATTCAAAAAAATGTGTATTAAGAAGCTGGTGAATTTTCATGCGGATTTCTCTTTCTTTAGAAAATTGCTGTGGAAATATGGAGAATGGAATTTAAGATATGGAAAAATGAGAAACTGAAAGAAACTGAAACTGACGCTTCAGTCCATTCCTGCAAAAGGCAGGGTGTTTTTGGTAGCGTCACCCTGCTTTTCAAACTCCTTTCCAAGCGGTATTTGATATTTAAACACCAGTTGGAAATGTTTTTGTTTATCGAGGCATTTAATCTGTGGTTAGTTTTACATCAGGAAGGCCTCCCATCTGCTTAGGTATTTATTGTTGCTGCCCTGCTGTATTTTTAGTGTCAGGCCATGATTTTATCATTTTAATGATTTACTACATGAAGCTGCCCTGTGCTGCAGATTGGAAATGACCTAAAGAATAAGTGAATAAATAAATGTGCCACTTATCTGACATATTTCACAAGGGTGATGTGGCCACAAGATCAAATACACCACCCCATTCTCATTATCAGCAGATTCCTTCGTCTTTTTTGACCGAGTATTAGAAATTGATCTACCTGCAAGTGGGGAGCTGGGTAGGGAGGGCAACACTTTCACATGTAGCAGATGGTGCTGCCATTGCTATACACTCTGAGGAAGAGTCTCTCCAAAATCCTGGCTGCCTGCCCATGCTCCATATGTATGTGAAGAGGAACATGACCTAGTTTCCTCTGCCTTGCTGACTGCAGTTTTCAAATAAGGTGAAGTGGGTGAAGTATAGGGCAGGGAGTGAGTGAGAGAGGAGAGTGGGGAAGAGGGAGGTAATGTATAAGAAGAACTCAAATCATATCACTGAGTCAGAGCCAGCATGGCCAATGCTCAGGGATGATGTGAGTTGTAGTCCAAATGATGATAAGGACCATACATTGGGCAAGTCAGGGATGGATGGATAGATGATAGATAGCTAGATGATAGATGATAGATAGATAGATAGAGATAGATAAGAGTACATCCCCCAAAATGGTCTCTTGGTGTTTGTTTTTAATTTCTTTTTGCTTTTTACTTGCTTTTAACTTTTTATTATTTTATTATTTGGCTTTATGTTTTCATATTGTTGCATACCATTGTGATATATGATACAGTAGTATACAAATATTTTTCTCAATCAATGAATAATAGTTTAACAGCACCTGGAAAGCTACAGATTCTCCACCCCTGGCCTATACTAAATAAGAGAAAAACATTAAAAAAAACACTGCATGATTGTGCATGCCTGTATCATATCATTTGCACTATTGTTTTCTGATGGCTTCTAGTTGAGTTGTGGCAATTCAGTCAGCAAGGTGCACAGCTGTCTTTGTTAGCCATTCATCCCTCCAGTACCATCTCACAAGTGGCTTCAAGATTAGTGTCTGGGTGGAAGGGAAGGCTTCAAGAACAGAAGCAATTAGGAAGGTTAAAAAAAAATCATGTTAAAAACAACAACCCAGAACCCCAAATAAATTAGCATTGTTCTGGAAAATAAACAGTGGAGGGTGAGAAACCCAAAAGATTGCTTTACAGCTGGGATCCAAATAATTTAAGATTTCTTTGTAGGAGGACTGATCCTTTAAGATTCCCTTCCTTCTGTTCTGGAGCAAGATTTTGCTCCTATCTTTATTCTGGGCCATACCATATTAATGGAATCATAGATATGTAGAGTTGGAAGGGATCCTGAGAGTCGTTAGTCCATCCCCTGCAATACAAGAATTTAAATGAAAGCATCCCTGACAGATGACCTTTATAACCTCCAAGGAACGAGGGTCTGCCAACTTCTGAGGGAGTCCATTCCACCGCCGAATAGCTCTTACTGTCAGAAAGTTCTTCCTAATGTTTAGTCGGAATTTCCTTTCTTGTAACTGGAATCTATTGGTTCAGGCATTAGCCTCTGGAACAGCAGAAAACAAACTTGCTCCATCTTCCATGTGACAGCCCTTTAGATATTTGCCCTTTAGACACACCCAACTCCCACAATCATTGCTCATGAGGCTTGGTTTGTAAACCCTTGATCATCCTCTGCACACTTGTTAATATCCTTCTTAAGTTGTGCCCCCAAAACTGGACATGGTACTCCAGGTATAGTCTGACCAAGGCAGAATGGAGTGGTACTATTACTTCCCTTGATTAGGACAAGCCCATGCAAGGATTCCTGATAGCAGAAGAGGAATTTCCCCTCTCTCTCTTCCCCCTACATACACTCGGTACCCTCTCCAAATCTGTTCTGGAGGCTTAGGAGAACCCCTAGAGCAGAGGGAAGATCATTTTGTCAGGCAAGCTGAAATGCTTGTGCTGACAGAATTATCTCCTTAGCACCACACTGAATCTGTGCTTCTCTTGAATTTTCAGAAAATAACATTCTTTCCCTTTTTCTTTCCCAAGTCCAGGTTGCTTTCATCTTCTTCCAGGTGCAAGCACAGCCTTGCATGTTGTTATTAAAATATACACCTCCTGGACTGCCATCCCAACTCATCCTCATATCCGCCAGCCCACTTCCCTCTAGTACCTGCTATGGTGTGCACAAAATGTCTCAGTAAATACTGTCTCAAAAATCCACAATGTACCAGAAAGTGTTTGCTCTTCCTGTTTAGATCCTGTTTGCACTGGTTCAGTCTCTCCTACAATGAACAACCTCTCTCAAACATCCTCACATTTCATTGGATGCTAAGATTAGACACCCTCCTATTGGTTCTGAACAGAGGAAAGGTGAGGTGTATGTCCTTTTTCATAATGATGGAGGTTGCTTGGATTCAAAGGATCCAATAGCAAGCTATTTTACACTTAAACACACTTGCTTACACTTACGCACTTACACACTTTTACACAGAGAGAGAGGGAGGGAGGGAGGGAGAGAGAGAGACTCTTTACCAGCATATGATATATTTTAAAATGTAATTGTCAGCTGGCAACAAGCAATATATTTTATATTAATGCAAATGACCACAGTGCCATGTTACATCATGTGAACCCCATTAGCTAAAATTACTTATTATTGTTTCATTATTACAATAATCTGATACTGAAAAGGAACTCAAAACAGGTAATAAAAACCAAGCATCTAGCAGTCATGAGGCATCACAGCTGCAGCTTCTTCCTTTCCAAACAGAACATCTACCACTTGACATGTGACTAATGCGCGTGAGCTAATTTACACTCAGTTTTTATTACAGAAGGATTACTTTAGGAAGAAATCGCTAACTCTTACTTAAAGAGGGAAATGTATTTTGCTATTGCTAGCATTTTCAAAATGGTGGAAGACTTGAAATTAAATTACATCAGATTCCTTTATATTATTCTGCATTAGCTTCTCTTTTATTTACTGTCATCTTGCCAGCGTGATATCATCCTGGCTGAAGAGGAATGGTGATGCTATTTATATTGTGCTGCACTGTCCTTTAATTGACCTTGTTTCTGCAGCGGAATGGCGGCTTTTCCTCAAGCTGCCAGGCTCTTTTTATTGCTGCATTTTGACCATGCACTAGTGGTTCTTTGTGCTGCTGCTAAGTTCAGGAATCAATACTGCATTCCCCGCAGCCAATAAAGGAAAGCTGACAGCATGAATTAACTGAATGTAGCCAGTTGCATGGAGGGCCATTGTCTTTAACGAAAATTGGGACGATTACCAGCTTCCATCACTTAGTGGAGGCTTTAATGCAAAGCGCGAGGTTGCGGTAATTTAATTTTGGCCCGCTGCTCTGACACACTCCCCTTTGCTACCGCTTTGTGGAGGCCAAGCTATTAATGGCTGCAAACCAAAACACGTAGGAGACAAAGGCAGAGAGACACAGGCACACAGAGGCAGCAGCTACTTCTGATTTAACAGAAGTTGTCTGGTAGTGTTTACAGATATTGGCAGGCACCATTCTTTCCCCAAAGAGTGCTCACCACTGAAGTAATCCACAGGACGTGAGCCAAAGCAATCTGGCCTGAACCCCTCCACAGACTGCAGGGGCAGCTATGAAGAGGGAAGGAAGAAAGTTGGGGAGAGGCCATATTGCTGCTTATCTCTTGCGCTTCCCAGTTTGGTTGAGATGCTTTACATCTGGAGATGCGCTGGAAGGATACAGGCCTGGCTAATTAAATGCAAACTTCATAGTTTTTGCTTGCTGCTGTTGCTGGTGGTGATGCTGAGAGGACAAATGAAATGGCATTTTGCAAAAAAGTAATGGGTTTTACTCCAGGTGCAATGAAATTGAAAACTGTAGTTCCATCTGACAGGTAATATTGCTCATTCGAATGGTTTTAAGCTCGGTTATTTAAAGGGGCAGTGTATTAGTCACAAACCATTTAACACAAGCTTTTAACTTGTTTTCACATTTGACAGTGGTAGGGGAGTCTGTCTGAGAAGTAACATTTTGAAAGCAATCGCGCTCTAAAGTTTTTATCTCCTCTTTGTTTGCTGTGAAGTAGTAAGGCAGGTAATGGTTTTGTTGCCTGCTTGCCCCCCTGTATGAGGCAAAACTGGGAAAGGAGGCCTCATTGGTGAGAACTGGAGAGCTGCTCTGTCCGAAGGATGACCAAGGCCAAGCCATGTCGATTGGCACTAGGATACTTCACACATCCATGGGGAATCAAAGGGGAAAGGTTGTGCTGCCTTGCTTCGAACAGAATAATTACTTTAAGGTGTCTCTTATGGTGGTGATAATGAGAAGAGGATGTTTTATTATCAAACCACTTTTATCCACTGATCATGAAGAACACAAACTGATTTGGTCACCACACTCCAGACACAATATAAAGGTTTAACATACCCTCTAACACTTTGAAGCCAAAATCTGGGATGCCATCTTCTCGTTTTTAACTAGCAAGCATGAAGGTCATTTGGGTTGCCGTGATCTCACACAATGCCCCCTCCCCGCAATAAAAAATAATTTGGGGGGCACAGTGCCTTATAGGCATAGGATTCAATAAACAATGTTTAAAAACCAGGTTTCCATAACTTAACTCAAATATAAGGTAAATGTATCAGCATTCAGAACAATAAGCACCTTCTTCCTTCAATGGAAATACTGAAGTGTGTGTTTGACAGATGGACTGAGTAGAGATGTTGTAAGGACCCCAGAAAACATAATAAACACCACTTTGGTTTGGTGGTGGGTTTCGATGTTGGAGATCTAGCATTAAATACCTGCTCAGTAATGAAAGTTGTTGAGTTGTTTTGCGAAAAGCATTTCTCAGCAGCTTGATTCATCACAGAGCTGCTGAAAAGATCAATGAGACAAGAGAATATGAAGGTACTTTTATACACCAAAAAGTGCTATAGAAATTATTACAAATACAGTGTGCAGATGTAGGGCTATTTATGAGTCAATGAGATCTGACCTTATATGTTACTGCTCTGATGGGCATCAATAAAAAATTACTAGGGATTTCAGCATGAACAACCATTATCCCTATGAGACACAAGTTCCACAGTGTCTCTCAGAGTGCCATTTAAGCATCAAGACAAACGCATCAAGGGAAATGTTTTACAAAAGTTCTAAGTACTTAACTCAGTGTGGCCCTCATAGAAGATTCCACAACAAGACACAGAATAGGGCTGCAGGGACACAGCTCTGGCCCCTTCCTGAGGTTGCATGATACTGCTGGCCTCATCCTTGATGACCCCATTTTATGCACAGAGAAAGCCTACACACATAGACCTCTATGCACATAGGATTTCCTGGCATTCTGGACTGTTGCATGATCAAGGTCCCAGAAGATAGAGAAAGCCTGCATGTAGCTACCACATGACCTCACATGTAGGGTCAGAGGTGCACCCCCACTGTCCTGTCTGTGCTGCACATGTAAGGGGGCTAGAGTTTTCATTTGAAAGAAGGATCCAGCCTTAGGGCTGCTGAAAATATCAGTTAGGTCACAAAAAATTTATAATTCTAATGCAGTGTGCTATGCCTCCCTAACACATTTTTTAAAAAAATAGGAAAATATGTTTCGTACAACGTGAAAACACTGACAGCTAGGGAGTTTGGCAATCTGAAAAATGACTTTTCAGAAAGAAAACAAGGACAATACACATTCAGCTTTTCTTTGAACGTAATGAATTATTTGGATTAAAAAGAGAAAATGATGGGGAAACAAAAATAATACTAATTAACATTTCTTCAGTTCAAAAGGAATGTTGCTTTGATAAATAGCGTTGTATATTTACAGTACACACAAGTCCTCCTGGGAATGAATGTTTATTAAAATTCAGTTACCAATTTCCATTACACACATTATTTCTCAAGCCCAACTTTCCGTGAGAAAGCTATAATGCTCCATATACTGTCACTTGATATAGTCACCTTGATTCTGAACACTTAATGTGGAAGATTCATTAATTTCTACAGAACATTCAAAGGTGCTGTGAAGGCAACGTTTCTGGTCTACACATTCTCATTTTGTGGTGCAATGAAATCTGGAGCAGTGGAGGTGTGATGGATAGATGGCGTGGTCATGTACCACTGAGTTAAACTACATGCCATTTTAATCCCTCCCCCCTCTAAGAGCTCATCCACACTTCTGTTTATGACGTGATTTCTAGGTCTGTGACTTGCAGATGCAGATCTGAGCAGATTGTTTTTTCCCTGCCTGCCATATTCCCTGGGAAAACCTGCTCTCTATTGCTGAATTGGAACATACGTCAATCTGCTGAAAACCCAAATATTTGGGAAGTGGCAGGATTTTTGTTTTTTTGGGGGAGTTGTTTGTTTGTTGTTTTTTTAAAAAACCTCTCTGGTCTGTGTCTGGAAATCATGGATCTGTGCCTAGAAATTATGCCACAAACAGAAGTATGAATGAGCCCAAAGTCCATTTAAAGCAATACCATACTGCTTTACTTCTCAGACTGGCTTTACAATCAATCCCTCTTCCCAGGGAACTCTGGGAATTGTAGTTCTGTGAGGGGGATAGGGGTCTCCTAACAACTCACAGTACCTTCAGTGAACTGTAATTCCTAGGCCTCTTTGGGGGAAGCCATGATTGTTTATAGTGTCATTATGCAGCATTAAATGTGTAATGCAGGTGTGGCCTTGGATAAAACACCAAAATATGAAAGCTGCAATCCTTTCTGAAGAGTACATTCTCGTCTTAAATCATTTGGACTTACACTTGCACAACTTCTTCTATTGTATTTAAAACATTTATTGCACTAACACTCTTCATTGTGTTTAGCTTGCATTTAAATACAAACACTCTTGTGTAACTAGAATATCAAAGAAGTGGTTTTCACCCTCTAGAAAATGGCATCTGTTCTGTAATTTTCACCCAAACAACTGCAAACATCCCAAGATGCCTGCAGGAGCAATGATGCTCTGAATGAAATACAGAGACCTTCTCAATACATTCTAACATGTTTAACAAGGCTAAAACAGAATCTATTTCTCTTTTTGAAGAGATTTTCTTCAGTAGTACTATTTATACAATTTCTACGGTAGGATATGTATATATACAAAAACTTCAGAAGCATCCATCAGTTACTATGGGTGGAGAAAAGATATCTGTATGCATTGAAGGCTCTGTCTACATGTTTTTCATTGCAACATTTCACAATGACAGTGGCTTCTATGCCAAATTATGATGACCTACATTAGCAACTCAGCTCCCAGAACATATTGAAAGCCAACACACAAGCCAAATTTCACAAGGCAAATGTAAAATATACTACTGGAGAAGCCTGATTGTCTCCATTATTTCAATTTTGGTTTTGTATGTTTAGTGTATGTTCAATAGTGAAATCAGAAAATGGTCTGATGGAGATTTAAATCGAGGTAAACAGCTGCCTTAGCTAGAGTTGGCAACTTTACCATCTGAAGGTTCAACTCCCAGGTTTTGATTATTTTTTTCATTGATCTATGATTATTTCTGCTTTATTTCTCAACACATTTGCTGCATTATATCTGTTCTATCTGTTTTATTGTGTTTTTTAACATTGCAATGACCTAAGGTTTCAAGCAATATGTTTGAACTGTTTTTTGGAATATCATAGAATCATAGAATTGTGGCGTTATAAGTGACCCAAAGGATCATCTAGTTCAACTTCCTGCAATGCAGAATCACAGCCATTTTCATGAATATTTTGAGGTTATAGCATAGAGTATTTGGAAACACTTTTACTATAATGATGAAATGTAAGTAGGGTTGCTTGAAAAATTCAATTTTTTGCAAATCCGTATGAACTGACCTGATCTGCACCTTCCATATCACTGAGTAAATAAAAATGCCTTTATTTAGTTGGTTTCTCACTTCTCTGAATCTTGTGGTGCCATTCTGAGCTCAAAAGCATAAAAAATGCATATACTTTAAATATATCTATTTTATGATAGAATACTTTTAGAAATGCATACTTTGATGGAACATAGTTTAGAAATGTACATTTTGTGAGAAAGTACATCCATATATAGTTAAACATGACTGTGTGGATTTTTTATAAAAAAAACAACAGTTTAATGTTGAAACAGGACTGCAAATTATATGATAAACTCAGCTGCTGCAAATGTCTTTAAGCATCTAATGATACATACATTTCTGACAATGCCAAACTGGAAACAACCTCAAAAACTGAGGATATAAAAAGGAATCCTACACTAGGGGAAGTTAATTCATTCATCATTATTTTTTTTAAAAAGGTTTATTCTGAAACTATTCTACAGAATTTTAATTCATACAACATGACCTAATTTATTTCTAATTAAATCTAATGAATAGGCAATGGTCAATGTTGCTGTTTATTTGTGTTGGAATTTAATGAAATGTTGTAGTTTACTTTTCCATCTTGCTCTGCTCCACTGGAATTTGAATCTGAAAAGCTCCCTAACTGTGAGCTGTAGCCAAATTTTGTTCTGAAGCCAAGGAGTGGAGAGGAGCAAAGCAGCTGCAAGCTCTTCTATGAGAGCCCACACATTGAGGTGGCCCCACTAAACTATGGTTTGGCTTACCATGCTGGGTGTCAGGAACATTGGCCCCCCAGGGTGCAGCGGAAGAGTTGGCCTCAAAAATTGAGATAAGCGAGCAAGGGGCTGACTCTGCAGATGAGAGCTGGCTGTCAGAGTCTAGAAAAGGAAGATACTGTTAGCTCTCCCAAGGAGAGGGAGAGATGGAAGGTGGCCAGAGCATTGCCAGGCAACCAGCAGATAAGCCAGAGTCTGAGGCTGTGTCTTCTGAGGAGGCAGGCCAGGCATTCAGTCCCTGTACTTGGAGACTGGAGAAGCTCAGAGAACAACGAAAGGGAAGGAGAAGAAAGGCGGGATTTTGGCGTCCTTCCTGTTGAGGGGAGGGACGATGATTCAGACTGATCAACTACTGTTAATATGAGCAGGCGGAAAGACGTTCTCTGGATGTGTTTTTCTTGTAAATAAACATACATAAAACTAACAGAGAGTCATTGCTGCTTATCAGGCTGCTTGCCTGCCAGAGATCAATAGACTGAGTAAACCAAGTCCTTCCCCTTACCATGCTAAAGTTATTGTGGTGAGGGGTCCCATTGATTTATGATAGTAAATTTTTCAGGAGGTTTAGAGAAGAGCAAAAGAAGAGAATAATCTGAAGAGACTGCCTGCCTGCCTACCCCCAATAACTTTAAGATTTCTGAGACTTAACATTAAAAAGTCAGTTTATTTAAAAAGCAGTATCTACCAGAAAGCAGGACAACTAGAAAATTCAAAATGCCATATCTTTTTAATAGTTCTTAATTTCCCCCTCCCTTTCAACATCAGTGCTACAGAATGAAGCACTAGCAAATCCCATTATGTACTGGGCAAAGCTCACATGCTTGTTCAAAAGTGATAGTGATCTGTGCCTTTATCAATCACACACTTTTCATGCTTAAGCAGCCTTTTCAAAATCCCTCTTTTAGCTACAAGGATTGTTAAATATAGCTGGTTGCTGAAAAGAGGTGAGGATAACTTTAAATGATCTTAATTTGTTTACCCTTTCAGTTTTCTTCAACCCACAGAAACCTGTCATACTTAGATTCACAATTTCTTGACAAAGATTCTTTTTACCCCTAGATAAATTGAGAGGTTTAAGTACACAGAGAGAATTTGAGCACCTCACTTCCACACTAGATTACCGGGGAAGGGGCATAGTCCACATTCCCATCCTAGCATCTGTCTCCTGAGGTGGTCATCTCACTCTGCCTAGTGACAGGTTAGGCTCAGTCAGAAAAAAAGGCAACCGGATTAGACTTGGCCTGATTACTGAATGATGCCACAGTTGTTGGGCATGCTTTGCTTACATAAATAATATTTGTTTTGACTTTATTTGTGGCTTAAGTGCACGACACAACGCCACCACAGAAAATTAAAACAGAAGTTATATTTAAACATGAACTGACAAGAAGATACAGCTCTAGCAATCAGTGTCAGAGTTAGAGTTACAGCCAACTCCTGCTGGTCTACCTTTTTGTTTCTTGACTCATGTAAGAAATCTTATAAATAAAATAAAATAAAATAAAATGAGTAATCGCATTCTCCAGAAGGGGAGGGAGTATGTAAGGTGATCTACCTACATTCTTGCAAATCATTTTAAATTCCTAAGAGTGGACAAGAAGCTAATGGAAATTCATGAGTGATGTTTATTAGCATAGTAATTTTTAAACTAAACTTTACAGGTGGAAATGGGATAGAAAAGTCAACTTTGCTTTAACCTTCTAGACTAAATTTCTCTTCCTTGTTGTAAAAATGATACCAGAAGATTTGTCAAAGTTTGTCCGTTGTTCCATGACACCGGATTGAAAGTGCCATTCTGCCATTGCTTGATAGCAGCCAGTGCAAAGTAATCATTAAGCAGACAGTATTATTTTCCTAATTAGTAAAAAAATAAAAAAAATCTTTGGATTTCCTGGGGCTCCTTCCCGCTGAGCAATCATTTGATTTTGTTTATGTTGACAAACATGCAAGTTGCAGACTCTTTCTTTAATCATTTGACAAAGGCAAGTGTTTGCCCGTCTTACACATGGGTTAAAGAAAACAATGGCACCCCCTTGCTTCTGGGTCTTCCTTTCCTGTGCAATTCTCACAGTGAGAAAACTGTACCAACTGCAATATTCTGCAGCTGTGTTTTACTGTCACAGTTGTAAATATGCATCTTCAGATAGGACTGAGAGAATCCCCTGTCTGAAACCCTGTTGAGCTGCTGGCGACCAGTGTAGACAACACTTAGCTAAGGTGTAAGTGGTCTGACACAGTGTGAGGCAGCTTCCTATGATCCTAAGAAAGCTTTAGATTTTCAGACAACGATGAACATTCAGGATCCCATTGTCACATTTTTCCCCTAGATGAAGATTAATATCCACATTCGTTGAGGGGGTGGGGAGGGCAATTTATGAGGTGGCCTTTAACCTCAGAGAAACAGGATGACAATTCCAACATTTCTAATATATGGTTGCTCTTACTTCTCGCATTCCTAGGGTCACCACTTCTGCACCTCCCAAAAGCAGGAAATCAATCACCAAACAAGAAGACTAAAGGTTTGTGAACATATACCACTTTATGAGTCTGCCCTAGTTTTGAGATCTTCAGTGGGGCCTTTCCCTTGTCGTCGTCCCCCCCCCGCACCCACCCTCATAGGCACATTTGGTAAGAAGATGAGAGAGCCTTCTCAGCGGTTGCTCCCAGATTGTCCCTTCTAGGCTGGTCCCCTCTCACCGTCAGCCAAAGATAAACCTTTGACCACTAACTTTCTGTTGCAGCCAGGGTCTTTTATTGTTGCTTTTTTCCTATTTTCTTCTCCTTGTTGTTGTTTTAAATTGGTTTGATTCAAGGCTCTTTTTATTATTGTAACTTATCTGCCTGTGTTTATTTTAATATTTATAACTGATTGGTGTATTTTCTAGCTGCATATACTTATAATTCATGTTGTGAACTGCCTGGGGTCCTGCACTGGGAGAAAGGCAGGATATCAAACAAATAAACAAACAAAAACAAACAAACAAACAAACAGAAACTTAGAAATGTTTGTTATAATTTAATCAGAAATATAATACATCTCACAGTGACCAAATGAGCTGTGTGCCTACTCAGTCTGCTATCTGAGTGCAACTGAAGTGCACTTTCAAGATCTCTTGCTCTCCTGTCTTAGTCTTCTTTGTCTTTAAGCTGGACTGGAACTGGACAGCGCTCCATATATCCCATCAAAAGGTCAGTTTCTGAGGTCCAGCTGTCCTTTACCAAGGACCAAGCTTTTAGGAACATAGATAGCTGCCTTATATACCATGTCAGACCATTGGGACATTTAGCTCATTATTGTCTACGCTGACTGGTAGGAGCTCTCCAAGGTTTCAGGTGCAGATGTGTCAGAACATTCCCAGCCCTACCTAGAGATGTCAAGGGTTGAACCTGGGACCTTTTGCAGTAAGGTAGATGTTCTACACCCAAGTCCCCCCCTTTAGTAGACCCTGCCCCGTGGAATGGCTTTCCAAGAGAGGTTCAGCATGAGTCATCCCTGCTGCCTTCCAAGTGTCTTTGAAAAACCATATCCTTCAGGCAGGCCTTTCAAATCTGAGATGCTTCACCAGCCAGCTTTTGCCAATGTGTTTGATGCTTCTGCATAGTCTAAACTGTTATATTGATCAATTAATGATAAAACCAACTCCATGTTGTGTATATTTTCACACAGATGCCACATTCGAAGTTATAGTCAAACATGAACTGAAGGGAAAAGCTTTTTGAAAATAATTAACATTACCACTTTTGGCAAGCAATGCAAATCTCCTGTAATTAAGGATTATGTAAAACTGGGATTTTAAGTACACATGGAATATTTTGCTATTATCCGTATTTTTCCTAGGAGATAATAGTGATAGCCTATCATACACAAACACCTTCCACTGCATCTTTTTTTAAATTATGCGCTTAATGTTACAGGTTAATTGGTGGTGTTTGCAAGTATCTTGTTTTCACTGGCGCTTAAAATACACTGCTAGCAAATTGACCCACACCTCTCCTCAGTCAGCATCCGTACCTCCCTTGTAGTCTGCAGTTTAAATATATTACCAATGAGGGCAAATGAAATAAACCCAGGTAGCCTGGATGTGGGAAAAGAGGGAAAGGATGCCTGCAAAATTTGTATTACTTGTTTCTCATACTTCCAAGTCAGAGAGATGAGGTGGGGAGATAACATTCCCCTTTAATCATTTTGTCAATAGTTCAGGAAGAACGCAAGACACAATTATTATTATTATTATTATTATTATTATTATTATTATGTTTAAATATATTTTTATTAAACAATTTTAGCAAAACAAATTATCAATCGAAATAACCAATTACATTCCCCCCCTTTTTTTATTCCACCCCTTCCCTCCCTCTCCCACCCCCTAAGGACTTCCCTCAGCTCCCCTCTCTGATTTGTTTGTACATATCATTCTCTACATGTTAAAAATGGTACATATCATTGCTTTATCTGTCATCTATTCTACTAATAAATTTGTGGATGTTTATTCAAAACCTGGCAAGGAGTCCAAATCATTTTGTTGTTTTTTTAGATAGTTTGTAAAAAATTCCCATTCTTCCTTAAAGTCACAATTGTCCTTCTCACGTAATTTATGTGTCAACTTTGCCAACTCCGCATAACTTGTCAGTTTTTCTTGCCATTGTTCTTTCGTTGGGATTTCCTCATTCTTCCATCCTTGTGCTAAGAAGACTCTTGCCACTGTTGTTGTGTACATAAATAAGTTCTTTGTTTTTCTTGGCTTGTCTCGTCCTAAAATCCCTAACAAAAATGCTTCTGGCTTCTTTACAAATGTCATTTTAAACATTTTTTTCAATTCATTATATATCATCTCCCCCCAAAATTAACTTCTTTACATTCCCACCACATATGGTACAAAGTACCTTCTTTTTCTTTACATTTCCAACATGTATTTGACCCGGTTTTGTACATTTTTGCCATTTGTACTGGTGTACCATCTGTACATCATTTTCATATAATTTTCTTTCAAGAGAGAACAATCTAAATTTCAAATCCACCTTCCACAACTTTTCCCAGTCCTCAAATTGTATATTATGTCCTATATCTTGTGCTCATTTGATCATAACTGATTTAACCTCCTCATCCTTTGTTTCCCATTCTAGCAGAATACTATATGCTTTCTTCAGCAGCTTCGCTTCTTCATCTATAACCTCCTTCTGAAATCTAGAGACTGTGTAGCTAAACCCTTTTTTATTGTCTTCCTTATACATCTCATATAATTGTCTATAATGCAGCCAGCTCTGAAAATGGTCTTTAATTTCCTCATAGTCTTAACACAAGACACAATTAAAGCATATAAGCTGAAAAATCAGGGGCATTACAGTCCTCCATTGCCCAGCCCTGCTACTCCTTTGCAGGTGGACTAATCCTCAGATGGCTTGAATCTCTCATTTTTTAAACAAAACAAAAAGCCTTTTCTTTTTTAAAGAAGCATGCTTTTGAATTTGTCTATCAAACTGCTCAGAGAGAGGTAGAAGCTAATCGAGAATTTGCTTTCTTTTATTCTCTCCCCAGCAGCCAGAACTCCCTGAGAGACACCTTTCATTGGTTGTTTCCATCTCCTGTTTGCTGGCATCACAGAATCCTGCCTCCCTGCACCTACATCAACATCACATGTGTGAGGCTGATGGAATAAGTGATCTGAATCAGCCATCAGAACAAGCAGAGGCGTCGGTACATCAAGAGCAGTGAAGAAAAGGGGGTGGCAATTTTTTTTTAAAAAAAAAAACCTGCCAAGCATCAGCTGAGCCCTCTAAATCTTGATTTTGCACATCTGCAGAAGCATGGAGAGAAATCACTATGCATGAGAAGCACCCTATTTATAACACTCTCACCCTCTTTCCTATGCAGCGTGAAGCTGTACAGGGATAAGCTTTCTCACCAAAGGATGCTTTTACCGATTCACTGTATCACACTTGCTGAAGGCCAACCTGGAATCCTGATGCAAGCAGAAAATATTTTTGTTTCACAAAAGACCTCCACCTAAAATGGCAATAACAACATTTATATTCCAAAGACATATTTTCCTTGTTAAAAATGTGTTATTGCAGAGGACGTGATCAAGTGATAACACTGAAAATATTACACAAAAATATCTTATATTGCACCCATTCCCTCATTCACTAGCAGAAAGAAAGTAGTGTTATTGAAGTACTTTCAAAAGACAGTTGCTAAATTGAATTTTTATATTACATTGTAAAAGATTTCATCAGTCAGTGCAATATTCCTTTTGCCATATATGCTTAAATGTGTACTCCCGTTTATGTATGCCACTATAGATAGGTGTATCGATCAATAGACACAGATACATATAGGACTATATATTAATATAGTTGTTTTGTGAGAACTACAGTAGATTAAATAATTTTGCATGATTGCTTTTTATTCTCCTTCTATACACAAAGAGTCTTGTACTCACAAAAGGAAGCTCTACTAAATTATTCTGATTTCTCCATCCCTTAACCTTCAGGAGTGACCTCTAGGGACAGAGAGGGCTATTGTGTAGGCAGGTAGGGAAACCCTATTGCTCAGGCAGAATTCCTCTTGTTCCTTTCCTGATCCAGCCCAATGAATTCAAACTCAAGCTCACATATTACACTGAGTACAAGGTGTTTCCTATACATACAAAAGCTTGTGTGAATGAGTGTTTGTTTGGGAAACTGTCTAAAGAGACAAATGGCAGAGTGTGCCTTCAGGGGTGAAGTAAGGCCATTGGAGAGTTACAACGTACACTTATTGTATTTGTACATCTCAACTATTTGTGTACACGGGTACAGAGATTGTACCCTCACTGGATATGAGCTTGTCTTTGGGCACACCTCTTACATTCTACCACCCCAATTAAATTCCCATGGATGTGGAAGACGTAAGATCATTCTACTGTGCATTAAGGTATCCAGTACTCAGGTATCCAGTACTCAGGTATTTGTACTCAGCACAAATGCCCCCAGCAGACACATGTTCAGCATTACTGTGAAAGAGCCCTATACCCATGCAGCTGCTTGTACATGCAGCTCTTACCTGTGATTGGTAACCCTGGCCAATTCATCTCACTGAAACGATACCATGGTAGAACTGTTCAGACCCCTTCCCTATAGATCTGTTCCTCTGGAGAAGACCAGTTGTTTATCCCCATTTTCAACCACCCCAGAGAATCCATGCATGGAACTAGTGTCACAGGCGAGGAGCCAGATGGCAGCCTAACATGATCCCTGATTGGATTCTGTGGTCACCATCTGCACAAGGGTGAGGTGGGGGAGGATGACTCTATTGTAGCATCTCGTCCCATTCTACTTATTTTCAATCGGGTAGAAGATGCCTCATATCCCTTCTCTGAATCCTGCCTTGATTACACATGAGTACAGCCCAAGTCTTCCTACTTCTCTGGCTTCCTCCCTTGGTTACTCAACTATCCATTTACAACAACCATTTTTTTACTAAAAGATGTCACTTATTCGGTCATTTGTACAATGCCCTTTGGTAGCAGCAACACAATGAGTTGATTCAGATTTATCATGGGGTGCAGGAAACATATTGTAATCCCGTTCTCCATAGCCCTTTTTTAGATGTTCCACAAACACAATGGGGATTGTGGACCTAGCCCCAAAATATGCTGTCCAATGTCTCCTTCTGTTTACTTGTTTCTGGGCTTCCCATATCTTTTTAAACTTTTGTCTCCAAAACTGGTGATGTGTTTTTAATTCATTCTGCTGTTAACTGGGTTAAAATTACCTTTCTCACTTGACAAGTCAGTTTCAGATATTTAAGCATGAACACAGAGGGGAGGAACTGGGATTATGCCCATGGTTCCTGATATCTACACATGAATCACCAAATAAGAAGACATGGGGATGTGGGTGGTGCTGTGGTCTACATCACTGCACCTCTTGGGCTTGCTGATCAGGAGTTCAGCAGTTTGAATCCATGTGATAGGGTGAGCTCCTGTTGCTCTGCCCCAGCTTCTGCCAACCTAGCAGTTCAAAGGCATGTCAGTGGAGGGATGCAGATGGCGCTGTGGGTTAAACCACAGAGCCTAGGACTTGCCGATCAGAAGGTCGGTGGTTCAAATCCCCGCAACGGGGTGAGCTCCCGTTGCTCGGTCCCTGCTCCTGCCAACCTAGCAGTTTGAAAGCACGTCAAAGTGCAAGTAGATAAATAGGTACCGCTCCGGCGGGAAGGTAAATGGCATTTCCGTGCGCTGCTCTGGTTCGCCAGAAGCGGCTTAGTCATGCTGGTTCGCCAGAAGCGGCTTAGTCATGCTGGCCACATGACCCAGAAGCTGTATGCCAGCTCCCTCGGCCAATAAAGCGAGATGAGCGCTGCAACCCCAGAGTCGGTCATGACTGGACCTAATGGTCAGGGGTCCCTTTACCTTTAAAGAAGAAAAAGAAGGGGGGAAAGCATGTCAGTGCTAGTAGATAAATAGCTACCACTGTGGCGGGAATGTAAATAGGATTTCCGTGCACTTTGGGTTTTGTCATGGTGTTCCATTGCACCAGAAGCGGTTTAGTCATGCTGGCCACATGACCTGGAAAGCTGTCTGTGGACAAACGCCAGCTCCCTCGGCCTGAAAGCAAGATGAGCGCTGCACCCCATAGTCACCTTTGACTGGACTTAACCGTCCAGGGGTCCTTTACCTTTACCTTTTACATGTATTTCCAAAACAATACATGAACTGAAACACAGCCATCTTTTGAAATCCGCACTTGCCTGAATTTTGAGGTGCTGTTCTTCAGCCAAGTAATATGTACGAAAGTGCATATACTAAAGAGTGCATATACTGTAAATGCATATTTCAGTAAAATCATATACAAAATGCGTTATATTTTTTCAAAATTGCTTTGCAAAAATTATTATTATTTATCAAATGTGTATATCGCCCTTCATCCGAAGATCACAGGGCAGTTCACAACACAAAAATACAAAATGAGAACACAAAATACATAATAAAACAAAAACAAACCAATAACCCCCACACACACACACACACACAAAAATGTGTACATTAGGCAAAGGTGCACACAAGGATGTGTGCATTAGGATAAAGTCACACTAAACTTCTTGTGAATGTCCATTGTGGAGGGGGGGGATTGCAAACTGATGTAGAAATGAATTTAAGATAGGGAAAATGACAAATGAGAGAAACCAAAACTGATAGATTTGCCCAAGTCTACCACTAAATTCCAGTTATTGTTTTTTTTAATAAAAAAAACAAATTTCAAAAATAACACGTATTTGTGAAAGCTTTCAACCCCTCCCTCTCTTCAGTAATACTGATGATGATACCAGCCTCGCACACTATAGCCAATGAGTAAAATAAAAAAAAACCTGAGCTACTCCACATCACCGATTGTAGCGTCTCTCTGCAGTCCATTAATCTTCTGTGCTACCATTCCTTTCTTTCATTGAAAAGATGCCAGGTCATCAGAAATTCTCTGTACTGACTCAGTGAAAAGTACAGTGCATTGCTTTCTCCGAGGGAATTATTGTTCTCACTCCTGCAGCCTGTCTCCTGGCTGTGAGGAGCTGCATTAGGTTTCCACTTCAGTGCAATACATCTCTTTTCCATTAAAAGTGCAATTTGTACAAACATCCGTTTATTACTTATCAATTGTTTCACCAGCAAAAACAAAAACAGAACACCAAAAAACTGCAGAGCTTGGTAGAAAAATCCGCTGCAGAAGAAAAATCCCAGGAAGGTTGCAGGGTGTAAGGGATATAATCCAGGATGGTCCTGAATTTAATGAACGGCAAAATAGGACAATTTTGTTTGGCAACCCATATTAAGGGCTTTATTTCATTGGAAAAGGAATACCTATGTAGACAGGCTAATCAAATCTGTTATGTTGTTTGATCACAGAATAGTTTATTAGTTTCCTGCAGGGCCATATAGCATATTCATTTTTCTTACTTGGGTCCATGTGTTCTAAGGATAAGAACCTCTTTGAGGACAAGATGGCAGGGAAAATTCTTGCCTCGATCTGAGCCATTTCACACAGCTCCAAGCGCATGCAAATCTGGCACAGGATGCCTATGCAGTAGAGAAGTCTGCACTGCAGCTAGAGATGTGGCACGTGGCTTAGGAGAGGAAATTATCCCTTCCTTTTCTCTGATAATTACTATGCTTCTTGCGGGTGGGGAGAGAAATACTGGGATGTTGGCTATGGGAACCTCTGTCCGGTCTCTTTATGCATGATAGTGTGCTTGGGAAAAGTGCAGCTAACAGGCAGAGTGGAAACAATGCAACTGTCGGGTTACAGAACAGTAAATATGTTTTAGAAGCCTTTGTCATGCTTATCGCCGAAGCACATGTTTCATCAATACAGAAGCAAGGTATGCACAGCCCATAACTTGAAATGTCCGGTGCAAATTGTCATGGTTTGTTTTCCTCTGCAGAACCAACATGCATTTATATAGACCTTTCAGCATTGCAAACATGGCTTTGCTGTAATGGTTTGCGTTAGAAGGCTGGGTGCTGGAAATGGGTACAGCTACTCCCTTAAAAGACAATTGGTCATGATCCAGTGAGGAAAATCCAGTAGCAAACCGTGCAGGGCTGGCCTGCCCCTGCTAACACAGCTGGAGAAGCAAGAATTCCATGAGATCTGACCGGAAGCCGCTGCCACCATGTGACCCCAGTAAGTGAGGCTTCATCCGGGTGGGATGGGGGACCTTCCCATTTTGATTCAGGCAGCAAATCAGGATGGGCCCAACCTGGGAATGTGTAATAGAATCACAAGCCACTGTGATAGCCAACACAAGTGGTTTGGTTACTCTTATCTGTTCCCTTCTGCTGTTCTCCTTTCAAACTGAAGTCACTGTGTATCTTTAGAACAGTGGTTCCCAACCTTTTTTTGGCCATGCCCCGCCTAAGCATCTCTAAAATCCTCATGCCCCCGCCCCCATGACATATAATTCTTATTATTCAAAAAGTGATCTCCTATTCCTATTTAAAAGGCCACTCAGTGTTAATAACTCTTTCTCGAATTGCCCCCCTTAAAAATCAAATTGCCCCCCTATGGGGCATGTGCCCAACATTGGGAACCATGGCTCTAGACCCTCTCTGGTTTGGCCTCCTCTGCAATACACTTTATACATGATTGCAGCATAATTTATGCACCCCAGTCCAACACTGACATCTACATGCATGCTATGTTTAATCGTTTTAGCATTCAGTTGTCAGTGGAGGATTATCACATCCTAAATTGCTGCTAGCTTTATATGTTGAGATTTTTAGCTTGATCTTTTTCAAGAAAGTGCAATTGTACAAACATTTACAGCCTCTCCCTATGCATAGCCTCAGCCAAGCGATGGCAGACTAAATGGAAGGAGCATAACTCAATGGCAGAACACATGCGTTGCATCCAGAAGGTTT